AGAAAGAAGCAACAGAAAGAAATTACTTCACATAGGAAATATTCCCCATTGCTATTCTCTGGGCTGAATATATAAGGCATTAAATTTCTGTGATGTACATGTGCATCTGTATCAGAGTGGTAATGAATTAAAAATAAATTTCTAGGTAGTCCTTAGATAGTTCAAGTTTGTAGTAATTCAAGTTTGTAGTTTTCGTCTTTCATTGAATAATTAACCAAAAAATCAGTATAATTTTTCGAGTCAGGGCATCACGTTTTTCTGGCAGGCAACTTCATGTATATTTTAAATCTGGGTCTGAAATTAGTCCTTAATCCATATCTTCTAGAAATTAATTACCACAATACCACCTCTGAGCTAGGTATGAGAAATAACCTTTTTAAGCCTTAGAGGGAAAATTTCTGAATTAGGTTCTCTCAAATTAATGCATCTGTAAAATGCCCAATAAATCTTAGGCAGTCATAGACTAGGAGAAACTCTGAAAATCAAGATATCTAGCAGTTTCTGGAATTTTCCAGCTGTTACAGATGATTTATCCCAATTCTTAAATAACTTCAATCCCAATAACTGAACTATTCAGAAAAGACATGATTAGTCAAATCCCAGGATAAAATTAGCCAATAAATGTGTAATATGTATTCAATTATATTGTTGATGGAATAAACAGAAAATCATACAGTGTGCTATGAAGATTATGATATCATAACTAAAATATCTTGAAAGCTTTTATCGGATATTAAATACTATTAAACACTTCAATAGAAGACTTCTCTGCAAGCTGTAGGAATCCAGAGGATTTTTTGCTTGAACATATTGGAATTTTGGTGGAAAAGCAGACATCAAGCCACGCTAGTTCCAGGTCAAAATAACAGTACTAAAGTTAAGTGGAAATTTAAAAAAATACATAAATTTTGAGACTTATTCCTTGAATATGTGTTATTTAGAAATTTTTTGCTTATATTATTGATTTCTAGTTTAATTCCATTGTCATCTGACAGCAGACATTGTATGATTTTCTAGTCTTTTAAATTTGTTTAAGTATTTAAGGGTCATTTTTAATGCTAGAAAAAGAATATATTATGTCCTTAGAATGTAGGTACTCAATAAATGTTTATGGAAAGGACAACACATAGCGGGAAAATTTAAATGCACAAATTTCTTAGTAATAGAATAGTATATAAATATATGAGTACAGAATATGTTATAAATTGATTCAATTTTTAATTTAAAAAGTTAATGGGACTTCTGATTTTTTTTTTTTTAACCAGCTGAGAAAAATCTTACTAGGCTGACTTTACCAAAGATAACAACTTTAATCCCCGGACCTAAAAAGGAATATACTATGAAGTCATAATGCATATCTCTGAGTTTAGGTTATTTTAGTTTTAGTTTTGTAATTGTAAAGTGTTTCAGCAAAATACATATAAAACCCTCATAAAGAATAAAAGAGAGAGATAAAATAGTATCCTGTGTTTATTTTCAGATAGAGCCAGGTTAGGCTGCCACCTCACTTTCTGTTAGGGTCTGGGCCACCAAAAAGTGCCAGAGCTGCCCTGCCTCATTAATTCAGTCCAGCACACAGTTATTTGCACAAATTCCAAATTTTGTTTTATGATTTTTAACTCTTAATTTTAAAATCTCTTTCTCTTCCTGGCCTCAGACCTTAAAAAATAATATGAGTTATCTGACATCTTTTTTAGTGTCTCTTCTGTCACTGGAACACAAACTGATGCTGCGTTCTTAATTCTAATCTTAATTTATTTATATTTAGTGCCCCCCGGCTCTTTCTTTTTGAATGTGGCTTCCTGGGCAGAACACTGTTCCATATTTTGCTTTTCAGCTGCCCTTTGTCCTAGAAGTCTCTTCCAGTACAATAGCTCTCTGCTGCCACCTTCTGGTTTTTGGCTGCAAAAGCCAGGCAGCGGGTCAAAGGTGACTATTTTTAGTGTTGGTTCTTCTCAGTGTCTGAGATGCTGTCGACCTCTTTCCCCCGGCTTCTTTCAAGCTCTTCAAAGTGGTCTTTTATTTCTCTTCTCCAAAACCAGGTTTGAGTAGTTGTGACAGAGACTTTATGCCTCCAAAGCTAAATTATTTACTATCTAGCCATTTACAAAGAAAGATTGTTGATCCCTGCTCCAAACAATATAGGAATAGCAAATGTAGGGAGCAGCCAAAGCCTTCAGGGATGAGGAAAAGTACTCAAAGAAGAAACAAACGTGAAGAGGCTGCCCTCCTCCAAAGTGGAGTAAGGCCTTATTGGAGACGGTGCGGCTGTGTCTCAGTGGTTGGTCCATAAGTAGCCACCTGCCAGATGCCAGAGAAACCAGATGGAGATTGAATAACGTTTGAATGAAGTTTCTGAGTAGGGCACATGGCAGGAGTGCAGGCTCCATTGGTTTTCCACAAGCCAGTTTTGCAGGAGGAAGGAGAAAACAACTGGAATTGGGACAAGGATGTGAAAACTCCTTATTACAGCCATGTAGGCCCTTCCACTGCCCTCTTTGATGAAGCCTAACTTTACTCCAGCTGGCAAAAGAAAACTTTACAAGATCCAGCTCCAGTATCTCAAATTAGAGTTAAAAGAGTAGTTTAGAACTAAGAGAAAATAATTAGATAATTGGCACATATTTATAGTCCACATGCAAATTTTTGTAATTTAATTGGTTGCTATATGTAATGGAGCATCATGTACTGCATTTTGAACAACTTTTGAGTCTCCTTTAATCTTAAAAAGTCCTCTACATTGTTAAAAAAAAAATCGTCTTTTGTTATATTGACATTTTTTAGAATCTAGGCCAATTACTTTGCAGAATTTCTCTCAATATGGATTTACCTTTTTGTTTACTCATGATTTGATTCAGGTTAAACACTTTTGGCAGGAATAGTACATAGTTATAAAATCATGTCAATGAAATATATCACAAAGTACATGTATAAGTTTGTCTTATTACAAGTGATAGTAAGTTTGATGATTTGGTTAAAATATGGCCAACAGATTATCCATTTCCTTGTGGTAATAAGTACTCAATTGATATTTTAAGAATATGCAACTGTCTTTCTTTCTAAGAAAATTTTTCTCAGTGGACTTAACATCAGTTGGTAATTCTTGGTTGAATCTCTTAGTGTAACAGTTATGAAATGGTGAGTTTTCTGGGCTTTCATTCCCTTTATAATAAATTGGCAATTTGAAGAACTGCAAAGTCTGGTACAAATTGAGCTGCAGGTCATATTCTCAAAAAAGGCAGTCTACTTTCAATTCTTATTCAGGTACTTATCTCCTTGCCTTTCCTA